CACTTGGACTTACAACCTAATATGTTTGAAAGAACATGTTCATTAGGTTTATAAGCAATCTATAAAATATATGATGATACATATTTGAGTAGATATTATAATTAATATTTTTGTTTACATATTTTAAGTTATTTATTTTTACTATCTTGTTCACATTTATATGTATACATATTATGATTGAATATGATGATATGATTATCTTAATAAGATAAATTATAAATGTCATTTTGGACGAAGGATTAACATTATTGTAGTACATAGAAGTATGACATTAATGACATACAATCGCTATGACTTGTATGGCTAGTCAGACTTAATGTTGTATTATTATATTTATTCGATTTATTAGTATTTTTTTAAATTTATGCATATATAATTGATTTTTAAAATTCAGAATCCAATTAGATAAAATTGCTTCAAAAAAAAATTATTTTATTAATTTTTTATTTTGAATCTTTTGTATCTTACTAATTAATTGGTATTAGATTATGTAGCCTTATCTAGTTAAGTAAAATATACTATGGATATGATTAGATTCTGATTATGGTTATCGATCAATAGAAAGGAAGTCCAACTATAATATGATTTCTTAAGAGATGACATTGATGAAATGGACTCTTCTGATTATTTATTTTAGACACTTTGCTCTCATCTACAAAATAGATAATAACTCCTAGGGACTATATACATAATATGTGAATGATTAAATATACGGATAAATAGATATATTATCGAGAGATTATAGATTTTCTCTCATCATTCTTTAGTTACATGTACAAATCAATAAGAGATTACAGACATTCTTTCAAATATTCTTTGTCCCTATATTCATTGTTCATAGGAAGAGAAGAGAAAACAAGTTTAATTCCTTTGCAGATCGACATCATTATAACTTTTGAATGTGATAACGATGTGCTCATAGATTAGATAAAAAATACGCTCATAGATTAAATAAAAAATTTTAAATAATATCAAAGATACACATCGTAAATTTAGATATATTATTATTTAATTTTAAATTTTGATATTAAAATTTTTTATATAATAATAATATATTATAATTTTTATGCTTACAATCTAGATGGAGGCATGGAACACATTCCGAAGCCACCATCCAGCTTTCTGTTTTTTTTTTGTTCTTAATTAGAAATCCCAACAAGTACTCAAAATATGATATTCCCTTGTATTATAATCTTATCCAAATTATAAATTATTTTAATATTACTACACAATATCACTGACTTTGGATCACAATATCGGTTTCAGGTCCTCGAACCTCACAATGGAGACATTGGAAGCTCTCAATCCCTGAATCCTACCAAATCACAACAGAAAGGGTAAAATAAACCATAACTCCATCAAACAATCACCTTGGATGATTACCATAATTTAAAAGTTCATAGTGCAGCAACATAAGAATATTTGGAGTATTTTGGTAATCTTTAAATTAAAAAAAAAAGCTAAACAATCTAGAGTATTTTGGTAATCTTTAAATACCCCTTCAAATGACAAATCTAGAGTATTTTGGTAAATAAAAAATAAAAAAAATAAAAACAGGTAATTCTGGTTGGGAACCAACATGGCTTTCGATTCCAAAATTTGATAGAACTGAAACCGCCCATTTTAAAACAAGGATCCCAGCTACACATATGTGATGTTTCATCTCCTACCGCAATGCAATTTCTTCATGCATAAGTTTGATTAGTGCAGTTCCATATCACTCTTTCATTGATCCAACCTGCATGTCAGCTACAAACTCTTTGGCTTCGGTTCGAAATTAGAATCTTTTGGAATCGGTTCCATTTTAATTCCAAATTCGACACAGCCGAAGCCACCGATTCCAGAAGAGGTCAGGGCTAGATATATTCGATGTTTCATCTTTATTATTATTATTATTATTATTATTATTATTATTATTATTATTATTATTATTATTATTATTATTATTATTATTATTATATATATATATATATATATAATAATAATAAATAATAATAATAATAATAATAATAATAATAATGCTGCAATGCAGTTTCTTCTTATGATTGATGCAGTTCCGTATCACGGTCCAGCATGCAAGGGAATTGAGCCTAACCTTTGGCGTTTTCCACTTTCTTCCCTAACCTTTGGCTTCATTCCTTGAATCACGAAAGGGAATTGAGCCTCCATGACTTTGGCAAGTTGTTGTCAAATGCTGTTCGGCATGGATGGACTAAGTAAGAAGTCTTTGATGGCTTTGCCCTGTGCAGCATTGACCTTGTCAAATTTTGGCCAAAATTTGATCTAGATTAAGTAGCAGAGGAAGCTGACATTTTGATGGCTACTTGGAGTTCCGGAACGTCGTTGCCTTGTTTTGCATTGGTTCTCGGTCACTGTCACGTTATTGTTTTTGCAATTTGTTGACCGGTAGCTTCACGTCTCGCATGCAAAGATTGGTTGTTTCGAATGAACCAAGTCTGGTCAATCTGATGAATACTCCACCAAACCGGCTTCGACAAGCCATCATTAAATCCGTCTCCTCTCCTCCCTCTCTATAAATACCTCACGAGCAGTGTTCTACTTCCATCATCCCCAGCAATGGCGGTACACAACACGACGATGCTTTTCCTGGGCCTCCTCTTGGCCGGAGCCATCGCGGTGGCCGCCCAGAATTGCGGCTGCTCTGCCGACCTCTGCTGCAGCAAGTACGGCTACTGCGGCACCGGCGACGACTACTGCGGCGACGGGTGCCGGTCGGGACCGTGCTACTCCTCCTCCACCCCCTCCAACGACGTCTCGGTGGCCGACATCGTGACGCAGAGCTTCTTCGACGGGATCATCGGCCAGGCCGACGGCGGGTGCGCCGGCAAGAGCTTCTACACCCGCGACGCCTTCCTGACCGCAGCCGGCTCCTACCCGACCTTCGGCCACACCGGAACCGCCGACGACTCCAAGCGCGAGATCGCCGCCTTCTTCGCCCACGCCACGCACGAGACCGGACGTGAGTTCTCGACTTGCATGCACGCATGCGATCGTTCCTTGACGTACTCGTCGCATCGACGCTTACTTCTTCTCTGCAGACTTCTGCTACATAGAGGAGATCGACGGCGCTTCGAAGAACTACTGCGACGAGAAACGCACGGAATGGCCGTGCGTTGCGGGGAAGGGCTACTACGGCCGCGGACCGCTCCAGCTCTCGTGGAACTACAACTACGGG